ACTATTCAAACCTCTGTGATTTTCAGATCCTCATACAAAGCTGATAACTTGCTCCAGGGGTCATAATCAAATCCCCAGGTGCTCTGGGCTGCATGCCAGGGTCTCTGAGCCCCTCTGGTGGGGTCCTTGGCAACTCTGGGCACCCGGAGGGATGTACTGAGTTCTGATACTGGGGGCATCAGCCCCCTGCCCCGGGCAGCAGGAGGGTGAACCAGTACAAGAGAAAGCAGGGACTTTCCCCTCTTCAGTGTTTTTTACCCCCACTTTTACAGAAACCCATCCATGCTGCACTCAGATTTGGGTAGAAAAGAAGACTGTGTGGCATGGAGAATGTGAATGCTTCAGTGGAACAAAGAGAGTAGGAATATTCTGCTCCAAGTGCTGTGCTGTGTGCTCACACACCCCTCCGCTCCCACAGCACACCACGTTCTCCCCTGCTAGAGACAGAGTTCAGTCATCAATCCAACCAGCAATCTGTTGGGGTGATTTAGTTATTTTTAGCCACCTCCAGCTCTGAGGATCAGGATATAAAACGGCTGTTCTCTGAAAGTTTGACTAGCCTTGACAGGTTTTTGTTTCTACACAAATGGCTCAAACTTCCTTCCTGAGCATTTAATGAAAATTCGATCAAAATTTGGAGCCACAGGCCAGCTCTGTGACCAGCTTATCAGCTGAAGCAGGTTATCATCACTCCACTGGGGTAAATTAAGCAGTGCCAGTGCTCTCCTCAAGGCTTTCTCCACACTCCCAGAAGCAAAAGCCCTTCCACATTGCCTTTCCTGCAAATATCCATTCTTGCAATTAATTATTGCAATAAACTCCCCAAATGCCTCCTGCAATGGGAATAGGAAACCTTGCACTTTAGTAAGATGGAGTTGACATCCTTAAGCCAAGGGGTGAAGCTATTCCTACAGCAACTTTCCAAGAGTGTGATTTTAGAAAATAAAGTCAGGGCAGGGAGGTGACCTCTCCTTGATTCTCACCTGACAGAAGCCCATGGGAGTGGCCAGCTTGGACTCTGTGCTGTGTTTAGGTCCCAGAAGCTTGGAAAAGTCAATTCCCCATGGAATAACGCTGTGCTTAACACGCAGCATGACTTCTTGTGGCCTTGAGGTGTGGGTGAAAAACAGCACAATCAATGCAAGCTGGCAGCCAGGATTTCTGGAGGGGGGATAAGCCACCGCCTGCATCTGTGCACTTTAGGGCGCTGCATTCAACGGCATCTCGTGTGCAACGGAGACTGGGACTGCAGAGATGGCTCTGATGAGGATAATTGTGAGGATGAAGATATTGAAAGCCCTTGTGAACATCTGTTCCCAATCCCAGGGGTGGAAAAAATAGTCCAAGGGTGAGTAATTAATCAATAGCTGCTCCTCTCGCAATCAAAACAGGATTATGTTTCTTATATTGCTCTTCCTCACTGATAGCAGTGATCCATGGATAGCAGTGATCCATGAATTGATAGGGGGCTGTACCCAAAGGGGAGGTGCTGTCCCAAGTGACCATGGGTGGCAATGAGGGTTCATTCCAGCTTTTATTTCAATCCTCTGTCTCAGATCTATTGCCTGACCACAGTGCTTGTGATGCCCTTTTTTACTCCTGAAAAAATAGATCCCAGTTATCTCACAGCTTCCTCCAGTTGTTAAAGGTAAGAGACTAAAGCAAACAGCAGACTTTGGAGATGCAGCACCCTGCTGGCATTCACCCTTAAGGAGATTGAGCTCCAGGATTTAGGACTTCAGAGCACAGATTCAAGGCAGAGAGCCTGAGCTCCACACGAGCATATGTAAATACTCCTATCCATGGAAAGTGTTTCCCTGCTCAGTTTCAAATTTTGATTAGGTAATACAGGCAAAAGAGAAATCCAGAATAAAATGGAACTGAAAAACAAATTGTGACTGTGACACTTCTGTTGAAAACCTTGTTTTTTAACCAAGCCCAGTTTCCCTTGGAGAACACAGCCCTGTCTGTGGCAGAGGGATAGGAATGAGATGATCTTGAAGGTCCCTCCCAGCCCAAACCATTCTAGGATTTCATGAACATGGGCTGCAAGATGAGGATGGAGCCAGCCATTGTGTAACTTTCCCATCAGCTCAATCCAGAACTCTCTGGGGTCCACGAGATAAATGTCACCCTGGCCCAGGGCCTGGGAGGGTCCATCAAAAGTTTTACAAGGCATGCATTAATTACCACTGAGAACCCTGTTTAATTCTGCTCTCTGGAGTGTTACTCCTGCAGAACACACAAAAGCAGTGGCATTTGCTATCTTAGTCCTAAAGATGGTTCCCTGTTGAGAAGAGCAGCGCTGCTGTTAGTTTGAATAAAGCTTTCACTTTGGGCCATGCAATTACATGGAATACTAAGTAATAGGAGGGATTTCAGAGGGCAGCAGCTGTGAGGGCTGGAGAGCAGGAAGAAGGAGGAATAAGGAAATAATAAGTGACAGACTTGGCAAAGCACAGGCTTCATGTCTAGGGAGGGTGTTAACTACCCTGAGAAACGGGACCATTATTAAAAAGAAAGAGATTAAATTAAGACAGAAAATAATTGCAGAGAATGCCAGGAAGCACTTTGTGACAATGAGATGCATTAGGCTCAAGAGGAACCTGGAGGAATTCCAGGACTTTGGGACTTTCATAGCTGTGCTTGCTGGGAGGGGCTGGGCAACTTCACTCATTTCTTCCATTTCTTGCATGTGAGCCCAAAGGAATGCCTTGGAAATAAAATGGCTGTCTGCCTCCTGGTAGCTTTGGGAAGGAGACAGCAAGGAGATAACAAACCCCACCCCGCCTTAAGCTCTATTCCAGTTCCTCAGGAATAACCTGGTGTCACAGGAGAACCTGTGACAGAGACCAAGGCAATAAAACCAGAGTGATGGATAAATTCCTTGTGAAAAGCGCCCATCACTTGTTTTTAAATTTTTTAAAGTTAATTAGTAATAAAATGGTTATAAAACTAGTAATTTAATTAGAGTAATAATAATTTGGACTGTTTGGATTAGGACAATATGAGACAATAGAAATAAAGAGTTATGGAAGTCCAGGTACCTTTTTCTGGGCAAAATAAGCCCAGAAAAGGACACACATTAACAGAGGATTAACCCTTAAAAGCAATAGCCTGTTGAATATTCATGCATCTCATACATGATGCATAAATTCCATTCAACAAAGGATTCAGTCTTGTCAGTGTCAATTTCTTCCTCTTAACCCTGACGGTGTCTTCATGGCTGAGCAAGGCAGGAAGAAGTTCGTTTCTTCTGATAAGAGAGCAATAAATTCTCTTTTTCTGAAAGATTTGGATGTCCTGTGGCTATCTGGTGCGAGTACCTCATTCTTTTCTTAAAAAAACATCCCACATACATAGTTCCTATTTTAACTACAAAACTACATTTGCCATACTATTAAAACGTTAATACAGCCCTACTAATCAACACAACATAATACGTATAGAAAATATCTGCGTAGAGCCATATAAAATGCACTTTTCACACTCCTCTCTCCAAGGTACAACATCCTGACAGAGGAAGGGAGGCAGAACATTTATGACCCGGGGTATTTTGGCGGGTTCTGTGAGTACGTGTACAACGGGGAGTGGCGGGAGCTGCGCTACGACGCCGCCTGCGAGCGCCTGCACTATGGGGATGATGAGAAGTATTTCCGCAAGCCCTACAACCTCCACCTGTACCAGTTCCTGGTGAGTTCCTGGTCTGCAGGAGGCCAAATTTAGCAGCAATTCCTCAGCAAAACAGCCAGACTTCCTCTCGGGATTTCTGCTGGTCACAGTGACCCTGGGATGCGTTAGAAAGTCTCTTTTCCCAGCCTGGCTGTCAAAGAAGGAGTCAGAACTCTTCTATTCTTGTTCTCAAGGTTGTTTATTGTTTCTTATCTATAAAATTCTTTCTCTGGGCTGCCAAGGTCCATTCAGCAGGACAGACAGAGGCACACTGGTGTTATCTTTTATTCTAAAAACTACATGTACATTATTTACCATAACTTCCCAATACCTATCACCTATGTTAGACAGTGAGTTTCTCCTCTAAACCAATCCAAAAGTGCCACCATCACAGCAGAAGATGGAGGCCAAGAAGAAGAAGAAGGAGAATGGACTGGACACACCCAGATTCCTCCATCTTGCCTCCTGAACCCCCGTTCTAAAACCCCAAAATTCTACATTTTCACCCCGTGATAAATTCATTACCATTCTACTTAAACTTTCTTGACTTGTAATTCTTTATATAAAACTTGGTAATTTTTTCCATGGGTCAAGATTAAAGGCACAGGGGCCTTGGGCTCTGTGCCAAGGTCTCTGAGCCCCTTGGCAGGGTCTCGAGTCCTCCAGGGCAGCCAGAGGAATTTCCTGGGTTCCAACAACTTTCCACAAAGATATCAGGTACATTCCATCTCCAGTTGTCTTTAAGGTACCCCAGCAGGCACTCAATGTGTAAATGTTGGTTTATGGCGCCTCAAGGAATGCACGTGCTGTGTCACCCAGGCATCCCCACTGCTTCCTCTGGCCCAGGCAGAGCCAAGTGAGAGGTCTAAATTTTTCTAAAAATTCTGCTAAATTTTCTCTAAATTCTGCTATTATTGAGTGTAGAGCTTGCACCTCTCTAGGAACTGAGCTGGCTGTGTGTAAACTGGTAACAATGCTGCTGGTTCAATCTTTGAAAGCATTTTAAGTCTGTGGCATGGCATAAATCTGAATTCTGAGTGAGACAGGGATCCTGCAACCCATCACCAGGGATCACAACACCTACAGTCTGTAAGGTCATGTCTGATGTTGGACACTGATCCAAGCAGAGCAAGGATTCAGTTTGGGTCTCCCACATCCTAAGTGGGTGCCTTGGACACGCTGTTAAACATTTATTGTGTTTTTTGACAAGAATGAATGAAAACACATTATTCCTGGGAAATACTACTCAATGCAAGTAGTTTTCATGCCCTCGCAGCAGGCAGAGTCCCTTAGTCCCCAGTTTGAAAATGGGGCTGGCTTTTTACAGAGCTGGCAAATGACAGAGCTCAGGCTCAGCAGAGCTGCTCGATTCCACGTGCCAGCAAAGCAGAGCTGTCAAGGAAAAGGTCACTTCTCTAAAACACAGGCAAAACAATGTTTGTTTTCTAGCCTTGCCATTGTAAATAGATGTTGAATTTTCCTTTTCCTAAATAAATTCATCCAGAAGCAGGCTGGAGAGAGAAAAAAAATGTTCAGTCCAAATTATTAGGATTTGGCAGAGCTGTAAGGAACTGGAAGGAAGGTTTTATAATGAGAAGTGTCAGGCTGTCTTAATAGCTACCATTACCAGCTCTGGCTTTGAGTGGCTAAACACAGACCTTTCCCCTGCTTGGAGATGGAAGAAGCAAAATGCTTGGCTTTATCCACATTTCTCACATATTTCCAAATGAAATGGCACAGGACTTAATTCCTTATTCCACACTCACTGAAGTCAGTGCTGGTGCTGTCAGGAGCATCATGGGCTTTAACAGTGGTATTACTTCAAGAAATAGAGATTAAAAAGGAAGGGAAGCCCCTGAAAAATTAATGTCTGCTCCTTTCATTTTAGGCTCATGCTGATTCTGGATTTGCTTTTGAGTTTTACGACGATTCAAAGGACCTGCTCGACGCCCTTAAAAGTGATAAATCCAAAACAACAGGCTTCAACATTGGAATTGGGCCTGGAGGTTCAGATGTCATGCTAAACCTAGGCCTCACTTTATCAGGTGGCAAAGGATCCCTGAAGAATTTCACACAATATGATGCAAAGGTAATAAAAAACCAAACCAAGCAGATCAGTGATGCATCTGCTCCAGTCGTATCATCTGTGCATGGCATGGTCTGGCTGTAACTTATGTCAGTTTATTCTCTCAATTGCATTTTTTAACACAGGGTAATTGTACCTTAATTTGTTCATGTAATTGCAAATGTATGATCGTTAGGAATCCTGTTTGCTGTTCTTGGTATGTTTCAGCAAACAGGGAGTGGGAATAAAATTGAATTACAGAGTGCCACGGCACATGTCATCTCACCCCATCCTGTTTCATGGCTACATTGAGCACATAAATAAAAAAATGCTTGAAAGTGACAATGAGGGAGGAGGGAATATCAAGATGCTGATCAAAACAATTATCTTCAAGGAATGATCTCTAGTAGCAAATATATCTTGCTCAAATTAATACGAGCTGCCTCGTGACGGGGAAATAGGCTACTTTTAACAGGAGGTTAAAATACCACACTGAAAAAAATAGCACCTGATAATAGGGTGTACTTCTCACAGAGGGCTTGCATCATGGACTGGCAGGGATGACCTCTTTCCAATCTAATAACATGAGTGCTGGTATTTCCCACATTTACTGTGCCCCATCTCCACTTCTCTCCGGGCTGCTGACAGAAAACAATAAAGAAGAATTACTTTGATGGTGTTCCGAGTTAAAATGCCCTTAAAAGCTGTTTGAAATGAGTACCATTATAGTATTTACTGTGCCCTTGTCCAGACTCACATGATGTTTGCAGCTAAACGATGATCAGTTATTGGAGGAATCATTTAAAGGGCTGCTCGTGTTGCACAAGGGGAGACTTGTGCAAAGCAATGGCAAAAACAGAGGTGGAGCCTTGGAGCTGGTGGTATATCCAGGAAATTCTCCCTCCATCAGCACCTTTCTGGCCAAGGAATCTCCCCTCTGATGGGCTGGGCTTGACCCCTGTTCTTTGCTATTCATTTAGTTTGTGAAATAAGTAAAAAAGGGAATAAACATTATGGAAAGGAAACTGGAAAAAGAAGTTGCAGAAACGGAGAATGGAGGGGAATTATGTGGAGCCCAACTCTGATCATATTCACACATCAATAAAACACCCATAGTATCCAACCCCCCAAGGTCCTCCACCTCCACAGCAAATCAGAAAGAGATTTTAAAAAAAGAATTACCATTATTTCATTTAAATCAGGCTTGTTTTCATGCATGCACTGACAGTGAGAGACTCAGGCTTTCCCCTGCAAGCGTAAAGCCTAGAATTTCACTTGTTTAAATTCATGTTGACTGCAGCTCCTCTCTCCTTTACCTGCAGGAGGTTGGGTTCATTAGAGCTGTGACCAAGGTGCAGACAGCCCGCTTCAAGATGAGAAGGGACAACATAGTTTTGGATGAAGATGTGCTGCTCTCCCTGCAGGAGCTCCCAGACACCTACAACTATGGCATGTATGCCAAATTCATCAACGACTATGGCACCCACTTCATGACATCTGGCACCATGGGTGGTGTCTTTGAGTACATCCTTGTCATCAATAAGGAGGAGATGCGAAGAAAAGGTCAGAAAATCAAAATATATCCTCTGTTTTCAGCTTTAAACCTGGTATTTCCACCCTGGTGGCATTACTGGCCACGTGGCTTGGGATTACCTTGAGTGTCACCAAATGTGGTTCCTGCTTTGATTTCAGAAGTGTCTGGGTAAGGGTTTGGTCATTAAGGAAGGAACCTGAGCATCATTTTCTCCATTTCTTGCTAATCTTCTCCTATTTCTTGTTATCTTTGTTCCCCAGGAATGCTTGAAGGCTGCAGAGCCACCCAGAGATCAGTAAATCAGCCCTCTCACATTTCAGCCTGTTCATACCAAGGGCCACAATGTTCTGTAAATGGAAATACTGCACTGCACTCAGCAATAGCTCTGCCACTTCACTCTGCTTAGTGCCACATCTGGAGATTAACAGACCCCTGTTAGCTCCAGTTCTCAACAAATTGGAGTGTATGAGGCTGGAGGGCCCTACCTCTAAATCTCAGTTAGACAAAACACCCACTGCATACACCGAGAGCCTGAGAATTGCCATTGCTAGCAAGTCAAAAATGTAACATTTTTCCTAATCAAAAAACACGGGATATAGAACAATAATATGGGATTTTAGCTCAATAACCAGGCTGTCAACATTTGTAATGTGTCAACAATAGATCCCATTTCCCTGAGGGCCATCACTGCTGTGTTGAGGGTGCCACTGCCTTGGTAACTCCAGGCCAGACACTGATGAAGAAGGAAATTGTGATCTTGGACAACAGGTGCAAATTGCTGTAATTTCGGTAATTTCAATAATTTTCATGGTTCTGTCCCAGATTCTGCCTCTGGTCTGAAATGGTTGGGCCACATCAGCATTAGGATAACTATGCACTCCATATTGCACATTAACCATGCCAAATTTTCCACAAGAAATTACTGATTGAGAGAATTTTCATCAAGTTTCTGAACCTCCAATGTTTGGAAACATGATGCCTCTTCAAATTAGTCCTTCACTTTGAAGGGTGAGTGATATAGAAGTGAACAAGGTCTTGGCAAGCAAGTCTTCAGGAAGCAGACTGCCAATTTCAGAGGAAGAATTAATCAAGAGCATGTGGAGGCAGGCTATTATTTCACTTTATCTTGTGCTTGCTGTGTATATAAGGAGATTTACTGCTACAAGATGCCTTATCTTAGGAAAGAAGGATACTGAAGTCCAGCAAAAGACAAAAATGCACCCCAGTAGAGATGCAATTTTCATTCTAATGCAGCAACATTCTGTAATTTTCATCTAATCCAGGCTCTGCCAGAAAGTTCACCCTTACAAAGCCAGCAGAGCTCTGTGTCACACAGTGCTGACCCAGAAGGACCCACCTGCAGTGTCTGATATGCCACTGTCTGAAAGCATTTAGCAAAAAAAGCCCTGATTTCTCTAATGTTGATCACAGCCATGCTTGGAGGCTGTGTTTGCAAGAGGATTATCCTCCTTCCCTGAGGAATGGTTAGGATCAGGATACAAGTGCTCAAGTCTTAAAATCAGAGCTTCCTAAGATGAGTCTGAAGCTCTGCAGATGCATCACTGAGCCCCCACAGGGCTGCTTTAGGTCAACCACTGCATCCTCAGGCTGCTTGCTAAAGACTCTGGAACACAGAATATTCATTTTTTTAATACACCAGTGACTAAAGCACAAACTCAGGAGAAAGATCCCTTGGCTGAGTCCTCCCTAAATGACACACAGCTCAGGCGGTCACTGAGCATCTGGCTCAGACTTTGAGCATTTAGGAAACCTGAATTTTGAAAATGAAATCACCTCCTGTGTTTAGGTATCCACAGCTCAGTGCAGAGCTCAGGGCTGCAGTTTTGCTGCCAGACCCATTCCCAGCTTTCAGGCTGCAAGGGCTTATATGGATGTGGTCATGAGTGAAATAAATACATATGTCAGAGCGAGGTCCCTCGTTGCTCTGCCATCAATATTTTTCATTACTTGTTTTTAAAATAGATTGTTATGGTTCTATTATTTAGCAGAAAACAGTATAATGTGTTCACACATTACAAGAACATTTATGGGAGGAACATTATGCGTGGAGTAAATTAGAAAGAGTCTTCATATATTCTGATTAATTCAAAATGCAGCAGTAAATCTTATCACTCGAGCACATTTAACTATCGCAAATTATATCATATAAAACAAAAAAAAAACCCTATCAGGGCTCCCCCCTCAAGCACTAATATTTACTGAGGCCACCCTTTTGCAGTGATAACCACTTTTCATTTATCAAGACTCGATCTTGCCACGACCAATGGCGAATGGTATCGACAGCCCCTCGCTGAACATAATTACTCAACAGGAACCATGGCAAATCAATTAATCAGGGTGTTCCTCAAGTTTAATTTTATGGCACTCTAGCACCAAGATAAGCAATCACTCATGCTGCTTTGGGTGAGTGAACTTTACCCACTGTGTTTACAACTGTTGAACAGTTTAGTACAAGTAATTGAGTGCTACACGTTTAATCTTTCTCAAGGGCCCAGTTTTGCAGTGGGATGCAGTTCCCAACTCAGGTCTGGAGCCTGTTTCAGCTCTCACCAGTTTGCAGGCCTTTTCTCAGGACGGTGAGCTCCTAAGCAGGGTTTGGATCCACCAGGCCAAGGAGCAGATCTGTGTCCCAGTGAGCCTCTCCTGTAGGGAGGGAAGAAGGGAACAAGCTTGCAGGTGACACCCAGAGGGATCTGGGCAAGCTCTGGGCCCTTGGAAACCTCATGAGGTCCAGCAAGGCCATGTGCAGGTGGTGGAAGGGGATTCTGCCCCTCTGGTGAGGCCCCATGTGCAGTGTTGCTGGGGTCCCCAGCACAGCAAAGACATGGAACTGGTGGGACAAGTCCAGAGAAGGCCACAAAACTGATTAGAGGAGTGGGGAACCTCTCCTGTGAGAAAAGGCTGAGGGAATTTAGGTTGTTCAGCCTGGACAAGAAAAGTCTCCAGTGAAACCTCACTGCAACCTTCCAGTGCTTAAAAGACATTACAAAGACAGGTTTTAATCAGGGCCTGTTGTCACAGGACAAGGGGGGATGGTTTTAAACTAAGAGGGCCAATGTAGATTATAGAAGCCATGTTTTACAATAAGTTTGGTGAAGGACTGTTGCCTGTAGAGGTGGTGGATGCCCCATCCCCAGACACATTCAAGGCCAGGTTGAATGGGGCTCTGAAGAAATTTGTGTAGTTGAAAATGTCCCTGTCCATGAGGGAGAGGGGCTGGACCAGATGGACCTTAAAGGTCCTTTTTAACCCACACCACTCCATAATCCCACAAAAACAGAGCCATGAGTGTTTGGGCAATATTTTAAACACAACAAGGCAAGGCCCTGCTCCCCAGTGCTGAGGGGAGGCTGTTCAGCACACAGGGCTCCAGGGTGGCACTTGGACACAGGTTTCAACTTCAGACCATCAAACCACAACACACAAACCCCACTGACCTCTTTCAAAACCACCCTATGCATCACCAGGCTTCTTTGGAAAACACTTTAAGGTCCTCTTGACAAAAAAGAGCAATATAAAAGTTACCTGTTATTTACAATACCTGCATTTACTGAAATCAATGGACTTTTTAACTACTAAAGAGGACAGCCTTATATTTGCAGCACACTGAAGTGCTTACATAAAACCAGGCTGTATGAAATATGCACATTGCTTACCTTGGTGAAACCACCTCATTAGTTCCCTTCTCCCCTCTGCAGTTGCTTCATGACTCTCCAGTTACATATTTTCATGATGTATGTGGTGGTGGAGCTGGCAGCAGCAGGCAGGAAAGCTCTGGCAGCTCTCAGCACACACACACCTTTCCTAAGGTATCCTGAAGATGCTGCTTAACCCATTAATGATCAGATTCCTAAACTGTTCTGATTTTTAACCATTAATGATCTGATTTCCTAAATTCAGATCCCGAATTTAGGAAAATTAGTGAGGATCTATTGATTTCAGCTGCTGTTCCTGGCTTTAGTGATGACTTAGTCTGTGAAAAAAACCAAAGTTTGTTGTTAAATATATAGATCAAACAGTGCCTGAAGCCTTAAGATTTTTACTTTCTTCTAATATTTTCTAAGGAAAATATTTTTACACTTCATATATGATAGGTCCAATATACCCCAATAAAATATTGGGGTTTTCCAGTGTCCTCTGCCCAAAATACCCTTTGACTTCAAAATACAAGCCATGAAAGTAACTGAATCTTTTCTTCAATGATAGAAAAGAGAAGCAGGAAAAGGAATACCACGAATCACTGGATTTACCTGTCTGCTTTCTGTTTTGCAGCCATCAGCATGGAGCAGATAAGTGCCTGTGTTGGGCTGTCCCTTGGCATTACAGCCAGCAAGGAGAACCTGAATCTGGGAGTAAGCCTGAAACACTCTGACTGCAAACAGAAAGGACTCCTGAATACTGGTACAGCAGCAGGGCTGGGGTCTCCTGAGGCTCCTCGGGTCACTTGTTTTGGGCACAGAGATTTCTGTAAGGTCACACAAGGTGTGAGGAAGGGAGCTCTGGTGCCATCCCTCAGGCAAGGTGGGACTACAGAAAATTTGGGTTCATGTCTCCAGGAGTATTGATCCCTTCTTAAAAGAGCAGGAATTAATGCAGCAATATATCTGGATTAGAAACAGAGGCTGTGGGGTAGCTAGGAGTCTGCAGTCCACAGCAGTGACAGACTGAGTCAAAATTGACTCTAAAAAATACTCAAAGAGTGCAGAAACCCCCAGATTTGTACATTTCCTAATGAGCTACAGACAGTGTGACCCTTTGCCCATGTCCTACCCAGAAACCAAGGCTGGAGGAGTTCAGGTGTTATCAGCTTAGAGGATTTGGGATGCTCAAGTTGTCACCCTGTGATAAGGTGGCAGGGCTCACCCCACAAGCAGGGAGCACTGAGCTCACATCGATCCTGGGAGGCAGCCCCTGACAGCACAATTGATCTCCCCTCCACTGAGCAGTTTCTGCAGCCTTTTTTTGTGGAAACAGCAGCTGAATAATACCTGTGCCATTCCACTCTGCAGATGCTGGGAGCCACAGTGCAGTTGTGGAAGATATTATTCCCCGGATTAGAGGGGGAGATACCAGTTCCAGTGGAGGGCTCCTGAAGAGTTGGGATGGCCAAATGTATCGTCACTGGGGCAGGTCATTAAAATATAATCCTGCTGTTATTGATTTCCAGGTAAGGCTTTTCTGCAGTTGAAGAAACTCTGCTGCTCTAAGGAATGAAAGTGTAGTCGAGCAGATCATTTCGTATTTTTATTGTGATCCCATCACAGAACAAGATTAAATGTAATGGGCCACTGATCTGGTAACCTCTTATTCATTTCACAATGGGGAGTACATCTCCCACTGACTGCATCCACAGGGAGACAGACAAGGAGCTTAATGCTGGATTAGTGCCAGGTTAAGTTTCTGACGTGTTCCCCAACAGCTTCACAATGAATTGCAGTTGTATTCATCCCTGGCATTCTCCCTGATGCTGTCCACCCTCCTGTATGAGCAGGGCACTCACAGGGGGCTGGGGAAGGTGTTTTGTTACCCAGCAAAAGCTCTGCAAAGACAGCCCCCCTCCAGGAGTTCTCTGAGCAGGGAGCTCCTGGCTACTTTGTCAGGTGGGTCCTGCCTTTCTCCACACTCTAAAAAAAATGGTCTGTGGCCATAAAAATCAGCAGGGCTCTATTTTCCCTTTTATTTCACTGGATGCCCCATAAAATGGGAAGATCATTGAAACATCTTATAGGGTTTCTGAGGGGGAGGAGATGGGTGCAAGCAGAGGGGATGGAAAGGGACAGAAAAGAGTGATCCTACAAACAAATATTCCAGGGCTGAGCTGGCAGAGGCACGAGGGGGTGGCCACAACTCCTCAGCTGTGGTCAGCAGGACCACAAGTACCCCAAGATGCCAAGATCACCAGCCTGCTCCAGGAGAAGCTGTGGAGTGTGAGGGAAGGATCTCTGTCATGGCAGGGACATGCTGCCATTTCTATCCCTCTTGTCTTAATTTGAAAGCAAGTCTGAAAGCTCTGACAGATAGTGGGAGAAGGGAAAATGGATTTGGGAATTATCTGTGTTATTGGCAGGGCAAGAAGGACTGTGCAAACTTTCCTGGGCAGCAGCAGAAACATCTGATAACAGAGAAATGCTTTCAGTTCCAGCTGCAGGTTATTCACCTTTTTGCACAAGTTCTCATCAACTCTGGGCAAGATTTCTTGCAGTTTTCCAGTAAACCATGCACTGATCTTTCTATTTTCCAGTAAACCATGCTCTGACCTTTCTATTTTCCAGTAAACCATGCACTGACCTCTCCAGACCTCCCTGCAACCAGAGGGGCCACTCCAGCAGCTCTTATCTGCAGTCCCCTCAGTTTGTCAAACAGGCTTGTGCAAATTTGCCCAAGAGCTCTTCCCAAAGCCCAGCTGATCCTGATACTCCCCCCAAATCACTCTCACAGAGCTGACACCCAGCTCTTCCCTGGAACAAATTCCTGGCCTAAACAGGGGGAATTTGCCCAGAAGCATCGATGGACAAATGTAAATAAGTGTCCTCACACAGTCCCAAGTTTTTAGCTTTAATACTCATTGAATATTAATATTCAGTTGGGCAAGTTATAATTGCTGCCCAGACTGGACTATTTTTGCTGACTGGTATATAGGAACTGGATCTTGCTGCTGGAAAATATGATGAGTGAGTTACATTCCCGAAGCTGTAGATGACAGTATTATTTCACTACATCAAAGGGCAAAAGATATATAGGCAAAATTCCTCATTCTCAGCATTTACTGGGTATTTCACAATCTGGCCACTGCAAGGGATAGGATGGCAATAAATTTTGATGATACCCTCTGTCCAAAGCTCTTACCAAAACATTTTCTTCAAAAAGGCAAAAAGCATGCAAGAATCCCAGGGACTGTGACAGCACTAAGAAATCAGTCCAAAAAATGGGCTTACTGGGGTGTTATAATTTATCATTCCAATCCCTACTAAAACCCCAAAGCATGTCCAGAAAAGCCAATCCCACACAAGCCCCCAAGATGAGGAAGGTTTTGGAACAGTGGCTCCTCACTGGGGCAGCACCACATTTGCATGATGCACATGCAGCTGTCGGGGAAGACAAATGAGTTTTTCCCCGAGTCCTGAATTTATCCAGCAATGTCACAGCATCCCAGTCGATGCCCAGCTGAAATTGTTCTCATGCCATCCATCTCCATCCCTGCAGCTTCAGCCCATCCACGAAATCCTGCGCAGGAGCAACCTCGGCCACATGAAGAGCAAGGAGCAGCACCTGAGGAGGGCTCTGGGTGAGTTCCTGCAGGAATTCAGCCCCTGCCGCTGCAGGCCCTGCCTCAACAACGGGGAGCCCATGCTGCTGGGGGACAGCTGCTTCTGCCACTGCCGCTCTGGGGACCGAGGAGCCGCCTGCCAGCTCACCCAGCGCCCAGGTGAGAGCCCAAAGGGGTGGATTTCCCTCTCCACGTGGCTAAACCGACAGCTCCTGGCATCCACACGTCAATCCCTTCTGTGTTTTGTGGCTGGGTTATCTTGGGTTGTTGGTTGTTAATTGCTGCCCCGAGATGTGCAGGATGTCTCTGTTTCGGCCTGCACGGCTGAAGAAGGAGTCAGAGCTCTTCAGTTTTCAGTCTTGAAGTTGTTTATTAATTCTTATCTATAAAATTATCTTTCTGCCCAGCCGAGGTCTGCTCAGCAAGGCAGCCACAGGCACTCTGACCGCACTCAGGGTGGTGTTGTCTTTTTATACCACAAACTACATATAACATATTTACACTTAATTCCCAATACCTATCACCTAGGTTAGACAGTGCACTTCTACTCTAGACCAATCCCAAAGTGCCAACATCACTGCAGAAAATGGAGAACAAGAAGAAGAAGGCAAAAGGCTAGACACGCCCAAGTTCCTCCATCTTGTCCCCATAACCCCCATTCCAAAAATCCTAAAATCTACATTTTCACCCTGTGATAATTTTAATATTATACTATTTAAACTTCTGTGACTTTCAGGTCCTCATACAAAGCTGGTAACTTGCTCCAGGGGTCATAATCAAATCCCCAGGTGTTCTGGGCTGCGTGCCAGGGTCTCCAAGCCCCCAGAGGTGTCCTTGGCAACTCTGGACACCCGGAGGGATGTACTGAGTTCTGACAGGTTATGTCAAACAGCTCAGGGGATGGGGGAATGGGTTTAAATTGAAAAAGAGCAGAGTTAGGTTGGATATGAAGAAGAGACTCTTCCCTGTATGGGTGGTGAGGCCCTGGCATAGGTTGTCCCATGGCAGTGTCCAAGGTCAGGTTGGACAGGGCTTGGAGCAGCCTGGGATAGTGGAAGGTGTCCCTGCCCATGCAGAGGGGTTGGAATGAGATGTTCCCGTCCAATCCAAACCATTCTGTAATTTGTTATTACTATAAATAGAGATAGTAATAATAAATTTAATTACTGGATTAAATCAAGCCTCTAGAGGGCTTTTGGCATCCCACTAAGGATGGGTGCTCCAAGGGGGAGAGCACAAACCTCAGCAGGCAGGGAGGGAAGGGGAAAGGCTCAGGTGAAGGAACTGCTCACACAACTCACCATCAAAAAAGCTGTTTTAGTAAAAAACTGTTAGATTTTGTACATTGCCAGATTTCCCACCCCTTCCTGGGATGCATTTTGACTAGAGTGTCTATTTTGGGGTGAAAAAAATATGTATTTCCAAAGTGACAGGCTTATATTTATGTTTTCTTTGTCACTTTCTATACTATCCTAAAAAGTTAAGTGGGTAGCAAAAAAAGCCAGGGTCGGAACAGGCTCTTTCATTTCCAAAAAAAGTTGCAGCTCTCTCTGGATATTTTTGTCCTGATTCATGATGACAAAAAAGAAAAAAAAAATCTAAATCTCAGCACATGAAGCTGGCAGAAAAATCCATCTTCAGAGCAGTTCCACCAGGCAGAGCTCCAGGCCTTCAGCCGTGGGCTCATCATTGGGGTCTCACCAGTGGGAAATCAAAGCTGTGATGAGACAGGGAGTTGGAGCAGAGCTGGGGAGATGGTTTGTGAGGCTGAATGCCAAAACTTGGCTTCAATGACTGCAAAGTGTTTTTTTAAAAAAAAAACTCAGGTTCTTTAAGTAGTCTCCAAATCTCAGGAATTTGCTTGGGAAGCCCAGGACCTGCCATCAAAGCAGGGCACTAGGCCAGCCAGCCCTGTGCCCCTTGATTTCAGCAACAGTGGGGACAGGCACACTTCTAAACTCATGGTAAATTTTTAATTTCAAATTTTCAGTAGCAAAACTAATTTAAGACCAAACTAATTTTGTTTTTTAAAAGCACAATGTTTCGGCAGATGGAAAACACAGCTTCCCAGCCCGCACTAAGTAAGAGCATACACATCCATTTGCACTGTCTGGATTAATAAAGTGCCCAAGCCAGGCTTGAAGGCCAGATGAGTAAATAAAAAACGACAGTAAATGACAGCCATCAAGCATTCCCATCATTCAGGAGCACCACCATAATCCATAGTATCGACCACTCCTGACAACTCAGTCTGTACTGTAATGAAAAAGCTTTGAAATGACCCATCTCCAAAGGGATTTCCACAACATCCCCACAGCTTTAGGGGACTTCTGTCCCTTTGCCTTGGTCAGAGGCAGGAAGTTGCTGCTGAGAGAGCTGTGAGCTGTGCTTTGGGAAAGGAAAACCAGAGGGTTTCAGATGAGATGGACAAGAAAGAGCTGTTGGTGTTTGGTGGGGTGGTGTTCACAGGGGGCCAAGGATGAGGGAAGAGACGAGAATGTTGACTCTGTGTTTCAGAAGGCTTGATTTATTATTTTATGATATATATTATACTAAAACTATACTAAAAGAATAGAATAAAGGATTTCATCAGAAGGCTAGCTAAGAATAGAAAAAGAAGAATGATAACAAAGGCTTGTGTGTCGGACAGAAAGTCCAAGCCAGCTGACTGTGATTGCCCATTAATTAGAAACAACCACATGAGACCAATCACAGATGCACCTGTTGCATTCCACAGCAGCAGATAACCATTGTTTACATTTTGTTCCTGAGGCCTCCCAGCTTCTCAGGAGAAAAAATCCTAAGGAAAGGATTTTTCAGAAAATATCATGGCTACAGTTTGGGGTGATGTTGATTCATCTCCCCTGGCTTCAAAGTGCCTTGATCTCAACAGCCTGGGCCTGGCTGCCATAGAGCAGGGAATCGATATCCAGAGAAGCTTCAGCCAGACCTGACATT